TTTTATATCACAGAAGTTATCCAATTATTTTCGTCGATCATCAGGTGAAGCGATACTTTTTTCAAGGGACTGTATATATACTTTCTAAAAAGTAGCAGATATATTTGAAAGAGTTAAAGAATATCTGTATGTTAAAATGAAAAAGTTCCATCTTGCTACTTGGTTCGTACGTAAATTAAAAGAAATAACATTGCCATCAATTTCTGGAGATAGTTTCTAAATTTGTACTAGTTACCCGACGAAATTACACACCGTTCGTGATACATAAATTAAAGTTCAATTTCAAAAAATCTTGAATCTGATCTGCAATTCAGAAAATTTATTTTTTTTTTCAATTTACTAACACACAACATTCTTATTATTCACTTATTCAAAGTATGAAAACTTTATCAACAATAACATCAAATAAAGTCATAATAAACAATACTTATCGTAAAATATCATCATCAGCATCAATAAATAAAAAAAAATATGGTTCGATAGAATTTATTTCTCTACATTCTAATATTAGAACAATCCTACCAATTTCACCCGATAAAAACAACAAACTAATACCACAGTCATCTTTATCACCTCTATCGTCAACTTCAACGTCACAAACTATATCATCAAGGGCAAAAAAAGCTCTCCAATCATTCAATTACTGTTTTAATAATAATAATAGTGATAATAATTTTATCAGTTCACCATCATCAAGACAAACACTATCATTAAGACCACAAACAAGAAAATATTCACCGCAACATTTTTATCATAATCGTATAATAGATCAATATGTTTCACAGCCTTTAAAAACTATCACTATGCGACAATTGGTGGTTTTTGGGCGTAATTTAACAGAAGAAAGATTGTTAAAAAGTGGCAATTATGTACGTACAGAATTACCGGTTAGATTGGCTTACAGAATAAGAGATTTTCAACGACTACCATTTATAGTTGGTACCAACCCACACATTGCAGAGGTGTATGATTTGTATTGGTCGGCGTTTGAGAAATTGAGAAAGATACCGACCATTAGAACAATGGATGATAATATTGAATGGTGTGAAACGATCAAGGGATTGTTGAAGGAACATTTGGTTGTAATACCGAAATTGGCAATGGGCATAAATGAGTGTTCGGACCACTTGCCAGTTGATAAGTTGGACAAGTTTATGAATACGATGTTAAGATCTCGTATATCAAGAAGAGTTTTAGCTGAACAACAAATTGCCTTGACAGAAAATTGGCATGATCCAAATTATAGTTATGGACAAGAGAATTACGATGGAAACATTGGGATTGTTTCAACAAGATGTAACCCCAGAGATATTGTGGAAAGATGTGCTAAAATGACTAGAAATTTATGCAGAAAGGCATATGGTGTGGAACCGCCAGACATTGTGATTGATGATAATGGTGAGGACATAACATTCACTTATATACCTGATCATATAGAGTATATACTTTATGAATTATTAAAGAATTCTATTAGAGGCGTAATAGAGAGTCATAAAAACACTTCTTCGGCAACAGATAAATCATCATCTTTAACTTCATATCCACCAATAAAGGTTACAGTATGTTCTAATCCTACGGATGTTTATTTTCGCGTATCAGATCAAGGTGGTGGGATATCAGATGATTTATATTTAAATATTTGGTCATTCTCACGCAAAAAAAGTAGCAGCAGTAGTAACGATAGTATGAACAGTACTGTTGACAGCGATGAAGTTAACGATCGCAACAATAACAACAACACCACCACTGCTCCTGATGTTGACAAATCAAATAAATTTTCAAATTTTCAAAAAGTTCCAAAATTGGCAGGGAAGGTTGATGAATATGAAAGTTTAATCATACCGCCAAAATTAAATTTAGGTATTGGACTGCCGATGAGTAAAGTTTATGCAGAGTATTGGGATGGCGGATTGGAATTGGTTACAATGGATGGTTTTGGCACCGATTCTTATGTTAAAGTAAGCAGACTGGGTAATAGAGAAGAAAATTTAGAATAATATTTATAATTAATACAATTGTATTTGTAAATTTGAAAAAAAAACTATTTATTTCAATAAATAATATATACGGAGCAACAGACCAAAATTTAAGCCTAGTTATTCTGAAATCATGGATGTTTGTTGTAAAAAAATTTTGTTTGTTTATTTTTTAATTGAGCATTTTATAATTCTTACACGAATTATATAAAGAAATAAAATTTTCAATCATTTTTTAGTGATATAAAGATAGAAAGCTAAAGTATGTCAACAATGCAAAAATAATATATAAAACGTGCAATCTTGTCGTACATTTACTTCACTCAACCAAAGTCGTTTAGAGATTCTTATGACAAGTAGTCCATTTTTGGAAGATAGAAACCAAAAGTATATCATTAAATTATACCATAGTTATATATAAAATTTGCAATCCTCGCCTTGCCATATATTTTAACATTAATTCAACCAAAATGTCCTGTTTGATCGTTTTTGCTCCGATTTATGTTCGCCATATTATAAACGTAAAGCAGTTTATAATTGAATAAAGTGACACATACGCACATATTTAACAAATGAAGATGTTAAAGAAAAAGAAAGTTGGAAGATAATGAATGATAATGTAAATGTTTGATTTTAAACAATATTCGAGATCAGTGTATAAAAAAAAATTGGGTCACAAGAAAAGGACAGGGGACAGGCATTAGCCACAATTACCTGTACCCTGTCCTTTTCTTGTGACCCATTAGAATTGCTTCAATCTGAAATTAAGACATTGGAAGCTAAATTAGATTTAGCATAAAAAGATTTGTTCATGAAAGAATCCGAGGTCTTGTCCCTCAAATCTAAATTAGCTGAATTATCCTTAAAAGTTAACAAGCTGGAGCAATTGAAATTGGAAGCCATACCTCGATTTTCATCTGATCAGATAGAGTTACCATCGGGAGAAGCAAAGCTTCGGATCTCTGATTCATCTGCAGTTAGTGGAGGCAATGAGAAAAATATATCAAATGTCTTACAAAGTGATGCTCCTGCATCTAATAAACCTAAGTTAGATTTTAGTAAGTTTTTAAAACGTAGAAAAAATATGGATCAGACAGAAAAAATTGATACTCCCAAGTCTAGTGATACTATAAATAAGGCTAACAATGAAGCAAAACTTCAAATACCTGATTCTTCGAGATCAACTAATATGAAGTCTTCTATCAGTGAAGGTTAGGGATGTTAAACAGCTGACTCAACTGTGGTTGAACCATGGTTGAACCATGGTTATGAGAATTAAAGAAAAGCTTTTTCAATTAATTAATGAAATGAATCTTAATGATAAAGCCCTTGTGCTTACTACAAATAATGATGCAAAAATGATTAGATGTGGTAATCTTATGTTATACAAATTAGAAGAAACTTGTGAACATTGTGATTTTCATCACTATAGATGTGCTGTTCATATTTTAAATTTAGCAGTAAATCATGGAATGGTACTAAGAGCTCCTATTATTGATAAAGTAAGAAAGTTTGTAAATAAAATTCATAATTCAACAAAATTTTGTGATGAGCTATGGGATTATTTGTAAAGAAATGAAAAAAAATTATTGTAAGCCTGATCTTGATGTTGCTACCAGATGAAATAGCACATTTTTAATGTTGGAAAAATTTAAACATATGCACGAAGAACTTAATTGTTTAGTTAATAATAATAATAAAATTTTAGAATCAATTTATCTTAATAATAATGAGTGGGAAGAAGTTCAAATCAATGATAATTTTATTAGATCCTATGTATAAAGCAACTAAAATGCTATCATCTTCATCATACCCAACTGTTAGTGATATTTGGTTAACTTTCATAGGAATTTTTCGACACATTGAGTTATATATAGAAAATCAAAATCATTCAATTGAAAAATGTATGATGGCAGATTCTATATGTAAAAAACTAGAAGATTATTGGACAATTATAGATAAATCTACTATTATTTCAACTTTGTTAGATCCTTGTTCAAAATTACTCACTTTTTCAATAGAAGAAAAAAGAAATCAAGCTATTAATATGCTTTGTTCTAAAATGAATAATTATACATCAAAATTAAATAACTCAAATTCTAAAAATAATATTTTAAAATCTTCTAGTACTAGATTATTTTTTGAAAATTTAATTACACAACAAAATAATCAAGTTAATCAAGCTCAACCTTGACCAATTGAAGATGAGTTAGAAAGATATTTAGCTTTACCATCAGTATCTTCAGATTCATTACTTTGGTGGAGCCAATATGAAGATAAATTTCCAGTTTTATCTAAAATAGCACAAGATTACCTTGCTATTCAAGGAACAAGTGTTCCATGTGAGCAAGCTTTCTCAATGGCAGCCCACCAATTACAAAAATTCGTAATCGTCTTCATCCCAATACAGAACATGCTGCTTTATACTTAAAAAGTTGGATAGATTATGAAGCAAGTATGTTATAATCAATCTGGTTTTTAATTTTTAATTATATTATATTTTTTTTTTGTTTTAGGAATGAATAATTAATGTTTTTGTCATTTTAAAATTAATAAATATAAATTGTATTGCATGTATATACATGTATATATTATATTAAAAATCGTTGTTAAAATTAACCACTCATATTTAAAATTATGTGATCAACAACGGTTATTAAAATTGACCAATCAGATCTTAGTATATGATTGACAAACTGCTGTTGAACTGCGGTTTTAAACCATGGTTCAAACTGGTCTAACACGGGTTTTAAACCAAACCAAGCCGACTCATCCATTTAACATCCCTAGTGAAGGTGGCCATTTTGATAACTCACAAATAGTAGAGACTAAAGATTTTTCAGAAGAAGCCATCTCTAAAACCGATTTCATTGGAAATGATCAAAGTTATGTGACTAAAACAGAAATGACCAAGATATTACCTATTGGGACATTAGGAGCTTGTGAAGCTTTGGTTAATTATAAGTATCAAATTCCTCCCATTGTTAAGACTGTTATTCTTATAATAATTGCAATATTAATTATAAAGTTTGTATATAAGCTAAGGTTTCTGGTCCAAACTGTTTTCTCAAAGCCCAAACTAGTTTGAGCAATTTGGGCTTCTCAACATTTTCTATAAGCATGAACATTAAAAAACTATATGAATCAACTTGTTTTAACTTGAACAACTTAAAATAATTTCGCCCAATTTCAGCTAATAACAAAAAGTAGTTTGGGCTTATAAAAAAATAATTTTTGCCCAAAGTATTTGGGCAATTTCGGCTACTAATAGAAGCAGTTTCGGCCAGAAACCTTACACAGCAAGTGTGTAACTTGGTCAAAATGGGTAATAATATGACACATTCAAGTATATTTGCAAAACTTACATTCATCATAGGCTTCAATGACTAAATTCTCATCATCTGTGGGATTATCATTATCCTTATTCCATTTTTTAATTAATTGTCTACATTCAAGGTAACTTTTTCTACAAATCTTATTGAACAAATGCCATTAATATTAAGGAAATTGTGGTGTTTCTATATGATTATTCAAAAAAAAAACTTACTCTATCTAGATTATGACAAAGATTCAAGACTCCAGGTGAAAGATAATGTTTAAGAAATTCTGTGTTTATTTGGTTAAATATTTTTATTAAATAGATCAGAACCAACATATTGTTGTATGCCATCATGTTTATTGGTTCCAGCAAGAATATAATTCAAGAATCTGAAATTCCATAAATTAAAAAATAAATAAGCTATGCTTAACACACAAATTTAAACACACCCAAAAATTTAATACTCACAATATTTCAGAAACACCATCAATTGTATCATTTTCTGCATAGGCAACTGAGGATTTTCTATAACCAATTAGAATATTCAAATATTATTTGATCCTACTATCCACTATGTATATATAAAAATGTAAAAGTTTTTTAGTTTAAATTATTTTTGGAGATCAACTCATCTAATTGAGCCAAAATTCTGGACATTACATGTTTTACATTTTCATATTCATTTAAGAATATTTTTTGTCACCAGGACCTACAAAGTATTCATATCTATATTTTCTTTTTTTCATTTTATTAGATGTATCATCAGTGTCATCTGAACTGGATTCATAATGATATGTTACATCATTGTCATTGTCATTGTCATCAGAATTTAATAGTCCATAGTTATTACCACTTGACATGTTGTGTGTGAAAATCAAATTGTGAGAATTTAAAATTGACATGCATGAAATTTAAATTTGAAACTATATAATAAATAACACTTACTTGAACTGAGCTTTTTTTCAATTATTATTTTGTTTTCTTTTTGTTCTTTTGATTTGTTTTTTGGGCATTTTTTTATTTAAATTAATGGATGTATACATTTTTTTTTAAAAAAAATTAATGGGTGTACATATATACACAAATTTTTTTTACATGTGTATATGGTTGACAAGAATCAATCCCTTATTATTGATGTACTACACAAGACGTTGTATATGACTACAAAGTAAATCAATTACAACATAAAATGTATTGAATAATCAGGTATTCATGTACAAGTATTAATAACAACAAAAAGCTAAGTCATGTTTATTTTTTATCTATATAAATAGAGTAGAGTAGCAAGCAACAGGTTAATAATCACCACCACCTTTTTAATATACAAAAAAAAAATAACAAATATTATTTAATTCTAAGCAAATTTTTATTATTTTTATATGAGGTCAGTTCTATATATCACTCAAGATAGAAAATGAGGTATAAAACTGTTAATTATAATCACATTACAAATGACTAAATTTTAATCCCTGAAATCCTTAGTAACACCAATGTTCACTTTGTCTGGTTTTGCTGCAGTATGCCCCAATTTAGATATTTGGACATTTTTGTCTAAATACTATTTTGACGTTAGACAACCTAATGGTGGCCAAAACTAACCTATAGTTTAGGCATTTAGGCAATTTTGGTTTAGACCTAATTTTGCCCTTGAAAACTTTCTGGTGAAATTGGTGAAACTCAAAAATTGCCTAAACTATGGGTGAAATTCCTAAACTGTGGGCAAAACTCCCAAACTGGCAAAACTTATTAATATATTAATATTAGTGTTTAAATTTCTAACTATGCATGTTATGACCTGGACTGTTAGATAAGCTTTTACTTGCCAATGTCCAACTATAACTTTGTTTAGATTTTGCTTTTTAATGGTGGTGGTTGTCCATTTGGAAGACAAATTAGCCATGTCTCTTTATGAAAAAGAAAAAAATAGGAAATGTATTTTATTACATTATTTTGAAATATTTTGTTATAATGATAATAATAAAGTCAAAACTAAATTAATAGATTAATATGTTAAAGTTTTGTTATTTATAAATTTTTAATCATAGGTTTGACAGTTTAGGCAATTTTTGAGTTTCGCCACTAGTTTAGGAGCCTAAACTCCTAAAATAATTTCAACCACCATCCAAAGTTCAATTTTTACTATAAAGAATGGGAATTTAGATAAACTTTAAAATGTAAAGGTTTGATAACCAATCAAGCTGTGGGAATATTTCTTACTCAATTAGCCTGTCTGAGGATTTTTCTATTTATATTAGTAAAAAAAATTTTTGTAATGGCTCAAAATTACCAATTTTATTGGTTTTACCATAAACAATGGAAATTTAGGTAAAGGTTCAATAACCAAGCAAGCTGTGGGTATAATCCTTCTGCAGTTTTGTTCCAAGGCACTCAATTGATAGCCTGTAAGAGAAATTTTGTAAGGTTCAAAGTTATAAAATTTTTAGAGAGGTCACAAATTTTCAAAATAATGGTTAAAAAATCCGTTAAATGATTGTAAAAATGTGATGCTTGCTATCTTTCAGGACTATATGGTATATTAATATGAAATTTATTCAACTTACATAATAATAATTTATTAAACGGTATATTCATCTAATGATGGTAATTTATTTATATCAGAAAAGATTAGTGCTTCTGGAAATAGGTCGTTTTGTGTCGATCATATACTAAAATGTAATGTGATAATTTTGAATGTCGATCAAAATCAAAGTGTTGGAGAAAAAATTTCTAAAACAAATTCCCTTTCAATTTTTATTTTACCATGGCCATAATAATAATAAATAGAAATGATATAATATTAAGTATTGTTGCGATCCTTTTTTCTATTCTTGGAGTATTTTTTTACCGAATGATAAGTAAGTTTTTCCTTTTTTATTTTATTTTTCATACAATCTATTAAAAATAATTTTAACATTTTTGATCAAAAAAAATATACAGCAAGAACTCTTAGAATAATTAATCAAGATGAACGTCCTAGATTTAGACTTAGACATGTAACTCCCGAGATGGTATCTATATCCATTCATTTGTTTCCTTTATAAGAGAGACATTTATTTATTTTAATAGTCAATTCTTTTTTGCTAACTTTTTTCCCTTTTCATAGATTGAAACGGTGCATTCAATGTTTCCTGATATACCAACCGCTGCAATAAAATATGATCTTCAAAAAACTGGATCAGTAGAAGTTACTTGTGAAAATATTCTTAGAAATAATAGCAGTCTTCCAATGGTATTTATAATATAATTCTCCTATATACTTGTATACAAAAAAATACAAAAAAAAACAAAAATTGATGAAAATTCTTTATGGAAAAATATATATGAAGCCACCACCACCTCGTCCGCCACCAACAGCAACAACATCATCATATTCAAATGTAACTCCAAATCATAAATCACTCATTGATAAATATAAGCTTCATGAGGCTGTTAAACAAGATGTTGTTCCAAATGAGCCACCAAAAGTATGGGAAGCTACACCTGAAAAAAGGCAAAAAATATTACAAATGAAAAAAGATGCAATGGTTTTACAAGCTAGAAAGTTAGTATTTATTATTATTATTTTTATGGGAAGAAAATATATAACTAATTATTATTATTATTTAAAGACGGTTTCTTGCTCAACAAAATCAGAAATCTTCATCACAACCAAATAATGAATCTAAATCATCAATAAATAATACTGACACTAATATTAATACTAACGCTTCTATTAACTAACACCATTACTAATGAATCTTAATATCAAGAGAACTTCTACATTACAAAAAAAAAATTTTAAAAATTAGTATATAATAAATTATAACCATTATAATAAAATATAGGTCAAATTTTTTTATTATTAATAAAAATGACTTACAACATCTAAAATATGTATCTAAACTTTCTATTAATTTATTTAAATTAATACTTAATAGACCATCCATTACTTGCAATGCATGCCTTGATTTCTATCAAGTATGTTTTCAATTAATTTTAAGTAAACATCTATTGGAATTTTATTCCATTCTTCAATTAAAACGACCTTTAATTCATTCAAATTTTTTCTGGGTTAGATTTTTCAAATACAAGTCTCCAATTCATTGTTATTTGAGTCAGGAGACTGACTGTCTTGACCAACCTTATAAAAATTTGTTTTAACCATCCTTAGCGGTATGTATGGATGCATTGTCATCTTGAAACAGATAACCTTGATTATTAAAATCATTGTTAATGGCAATTTTACCATCGATTTTTATAAATGAGCCCAGAAGAACAGCTCCAAAACATTACAGCCACTATCCACGCGGGAAAGTATAAATTTGATATTTTCCTCTTAAGGAGATTACTTTAGAATTAAAGGTGAAAATAATCAAATGGCTGCTCAAGTAATAAAATATTTAAAACAAGGAATAGCCTCAGATGATGGTTACTGGTGGAATTGGTGTTTCTCTTCATTTTATGGTGCAGCTCATCTGAAGACGCCAACAGTTGCGCCACGGCCTGGAATTTTGTCGAATTTATAAAATATATACAGTATTTATCTATTTATCTATTTCATTAATTACAAACTCGGGTATTCATTCGTCTATGAGACTTATATTTCCGAATTGCATATTCTGCTGAATTCCCTGTCAAACCTTTTCTGTAAGCATCTATCCAATGTGATTTTCTTGCAAAGTTTTTTATCTAAAGCTTTAGGAGCCACCAACTGCAAACTAGACCAGATGTAAGCAGGACCCTGGAAACTTACATTAGATGTTCCTAGAAAATTTTTACTCGGCCTATTGTCTATAAACTTTCTATTAGCGGGATATTTTTCTACAAAAATTGGATCTTATAGGTAACTATAATGTTGCACTTTTAAATTTGCATTAAAGGAATGTGGGTTTACTGGTTGTGTCCACATGATGATATTGATATTGAACCAAAATTTCCCAGGTTCAAAATGTTTTGATAGGTTAAAAGTCAAATAATTGTCATGTGACAAATTTTCATTTTTTTATCCACATGTAAAACTTGATAAATCGGACGCAACAATCAATTCTTTAAAGCAATTGATGATATAAATAAATGACCGACCTATCGAATTCACACGTGTATTAATTAAATAAAAGGAAGAAGTTCTGGGAAGTATCCATTACACATTCTTATTTATTTTGCTAGTGTACGTAATTTTCTGCATCGTAGAAACAAATTGGAACGTTTTTTTGCCTGCGCCTTAACGCATTTATACATCGAGTCTCAATCATTTCAGAGTTTTGTGTTTCATAAATTGAAGAATGAAATGAAATCAATCAATTTGAGGGTATCTCTTGACTGGATACACTCGCTATAATACTCACGCAGCTTTTCTCTTATCTTATCTAGTGAATCTGATCGTTTCTATTTCACTTTCTTGTCTTATCTTTCATATTGCGAGGAATGAAATGTTAGTATGGGCGGATTTTTGGAATTGGACCTTTTTTGTCACTTTATTTGTCACCTAATACCTGATGATTATGATCACAATATTAAAAAATCCCAATTAAACTAAGAGAACAACAAAAACTCGTAAAAAACCCCATTATCTGTATGTATATATGTATTAGTATTAGATGCTATTTTGCAAATTTACATACTCCATTGTTAAATTGAAATACATAAAACTCTAATGTCAGGAAGTATGAGATCGATCATTTATCTAGACCAAATATTGATTTATTAAAAGCAGCTAGCTTCTTTTGATAAACAATGAAGCACAATATACGATTGTTTTATACATGGCTGTTGTACATGAATTTTGAATTTGAAATTCACGCGCGTGAAATTCGAATTAACCATTCGGAATTTTGTATCTATCAACCATTAACCTTTTTTCGTATAGTTGTTAAATTAGTGT